GATTGGCCGCCTCCTGCACACCCCCCACTGGGGATCAGGCCCACAACCGGGGCATGTGCCCTGACGGGGAATCGAACCAGTGACCTCTTGGTGCATGGGTCGATGCTCAACCACTGAGCTACACCGTCCGGTGTAAAAAAAAAAAAAAAATACAGCAATTCCCAACATACACAAATTGTCTTTTAATTACTTAAGACAATAACTTTCTTAACCCTTGCAATGTTTATAGTCCAGGATATAGTATAGTATTATTCTCTAGTTTTTATGGCATAAATCCTAAGCAGACATGCTCCTTCAGGTAGAATATATGCCTCCTCATTTCTTTCTTTTTAATTTTTTTTCTTTATTGATTTTAGAGAGGGAGGGAGAGGGAGAGAGAGAAACATCGATGGGAGAGAACATCGATTGGCCGCCTCCTGCATGCCCCCACTGGGGATCAGGCCCACAACCTGGGCATGTGCCACACCTGCTGGGCCTCATTTCTTGTGTATATTGCATAGTAGTATTGGAGTTGGTTGGTATGTAAACCATTACTAGACTTTGGATGGCCAAGTGTCTTCTTCAGGGCCACTCGATTCAGAGAACAGTTAACACATAAGGAAAGGGTATGGCTGTGCTTTGACTCTTGTGCCTGCAGTGCTGTGCACAGAACTTTATGTGTGCATGGTGCCAGATGATCCCAATATATGCAATTAAGGGCCTCATGATTTTCAGATTATACAACTTAGTAAAGAAAAATATTTTGCTATTCTTTTTTTATTTTTCATCCTCACCCGAGGACATTTTTGCATTTATCTTCAGATAGAGCGGGAGGGAGAGAATGAGGGAGAGAGAGAAACATTGATGTGAGAGAGACACGTGGACTGGCTGCCACCCACACGACCCCAATCGAGGCCAGGGACAAACAACAACCGAGGTACGTGCCCTTAGCAGGAACCGAACCTGGGTCTCTCTGGTCCGCGAGCCAATGCTCTAAGTGCTGAGCCAAACCGGCCAGGGCAGCTATTCTTGTTTTAAATTTGAATATTAAATAAATGATTCTCCAAAGTCATGGAAAATCAGTTTGGGAGAAGATTCTTATCGTAGGGAGATTTAATATCCTGTTTAGGGTATATGGATTATTTTGAAACAAAATTACTCTAATGAATGTCACTTTTTGGTGTGGCTTAAACTTTGATCTCAGAATGTAATGTTAAAAAGAGAAAACTCAAGAAAAGCATTGATGTTATATGTTAACTTGAGCACACAGCCAGAAACAAACATTAACTATCTTGACAGTCTTCCAACAAAATAATGATTATACTCCATAATCCTTGTTAAACTCCATCTTTAAAATTCAGGTTAGAGATTTTAAAAAGAGTTATACTGTTTATGTAAAAGAAAAATCATGTTTGTATTATGAAAAAAGAGAAACAAAATAACTAATCAGTTAATTATCATTCAGAAAGAAATAATTACTATTATAACTAAAGTTTGGGGAATGAGAATAAGTTACGTTAGTGCCACTGATTTATGGTAACTCATAACAAATGTTCAGAAAAGAGAGACACCAATCCTTGAAAACTAGAAAAATGACCTTTGGTTCTTGATCTATTTCCAACACTTCTGATAATTACATTGTAGTGAATTCATACCAAAAAAATAAAAAATATAAAAATACTGCAATTGTTTCACATGTGCTTTTCACCTGTTTTGCCAAAAACTCATCAAGGAGACTTGCTATGGCATCACCCACTCTGCACTCTGCTTGGCTTTCACGGCAACTCAGCAGCTAAGAGTCAAATGCAGTCTCACCAGCTCCCTGAATTCCATTCTTTGTAAGTAGGTCATGTGTGTTTGAGAATGAGAGTGCTCCTTGGGAAAAGCCAACTATGGGGAAACAATTCAAAATTATTTCCTTATATTTTGTTCATGTGACTATTTCAAAATCCAGTATCACAAGCTTTGGTAATGTTTCTTATTTAGCTGCATATTTGAAATGGTAGCAAAGTATGTGAAAGCCACATTAAAGCATAAAAGTCAGGAGTATTAAAGGTATATGTATAATGTAGTGAAACTGGAAAAGTCAAGAGAACAAGTTAAGCTTAAGGTGCATTATGAAATTTTCAACAGAGCACCCAAGCCCATCACAACATTTAGTATTCGGGTGAATAAAGGAAATCTTCCAATTAAGAACATTTCATCTGTACAAACTAAAATTTTAATAAAATTAAAACAAATCAAATAAACCTATATGACCCTATTAATCAATGTCACCCCAATAAATTTAATAAAATTTGAAAAATAAAATAAAAAACCTAGCCCTGGCCAGGTGGCTCAGTGGGCTGACGTGCATTCCCATAGACCGAAAGGTGGGGGTTCAATCTTCAGTAGAGGCGTGTGCGGGAAGCAACCAATTGGTGTTCTCTCTCACATTAATGGTTCTCTCTCTAGAGAACTCAATGAAAACACATCCTCAGGAGAGGAAAACAACAACTATACAACCCTATTAACCAATTTGACCCCAATAAACTTAATACAAATTTAAACTAGAAAATAAACTAGAAAAGCCTTAGTGTTGAAATTCTGAGCATAACCTTTGAATTAGAAGTTATATATATATATATATATATATATATATATATACTTAAAATATGACTACGGAATAAGAATATGCATATTCTGTGCTTATAATAAAGCATGTTATAGTGCTTTAAAAATTTGGACCATAAAAGTATAATATAAAGGTATGACACAAAGTTAAAACATCAATTTTGAAAAACTTGACAGATCCTAGACCTCAGTTTCAACAACTGTATTGATAGAGCAATGCAACGTCTATAATAGAAGTTCGTATTGTCTTCAAAATGTGTCTTGGACAATAAAACGCAGTTGTGTTATTTTTGAGAATTTTGCTACCCCATCTGTGGGCAAGTGTAGCGTGAATGAAAGCGCACATGAGGAACACGGCAGAGCCATCAGGGCCTGCTGGGCAGGGGCCCGCCCTGGAGATCATGCTGAGCTGGGCATGCAGGGCTGCAGGCCAACATGGCGTCTTTCCCAAAGGTGTGAGGGAGGGGCTGGCTAGCAGCAGGTCCCCAAACTCCTTAGAATACTCCCCCCACATGCGCGCTCTCTTCCTTATCTTTAAAAAAATAATAATTATTTTTTAATCCTCACCTGAGGATATTTTTCCGTTTATCTTCAGCTAGAGTGGGAGGGGGAGAGAGAGAAACATCAATGTGAGAGAGACACATCAATTGGTTGTCTCCCACATGACCTCTACCAGGGCCGGGGACAAACTGCAACCAAGGTATGTGCGCTTGGCTAGAATCAAATCTGCGACTCTTTGGCCCGCAGGCCAATGCTCTAACCACTGAGCCAAACCGGCCAGGACTATTTGGTATTTTTAATTAATTTTATTTTTCAATTAGTTTACATTCAATATTATTTTTAATTAGTTTCAGGTGTGCAGCATAGTGATTAGACAATCATATACTTTACAAAGTGTTTCCTCTGATACCTCCGGTACTCACCTGACACCATACATAGTTGTTACATTATTGACTAGATTCCCTCTGCTGTACTTTACATCCTTGTGACTATTTTGTAACTGTCAATTTGTACTTCCCTATCCTTTCATCCAGACCCCCAAACTCTCTGCCCTCTGGTAACCATCAATCTGTTCTGTGTGTCCATGAGTCTGTTCATTTATTTTACTCTTTAGATTTCACATAGAAGTGAAATCATATGCTATTTGTCTTCCTGTCTGACTTATTTCATGTAGCATAATACACTCTAGGCCCATCCATGTCATCACAAATGGTTAAGATTTTGCTCTTTTTTATGGCCAAGTAATATTCCATTTATGTATGTACCATGACATTTTAAACTACTTGTCTATTGATGGACACCTGGGTTGCTTCCCTATCTTGGCTATTGTAAATAATGCTGCAATGAACATAGGGGTGCAGATATTCTTTCCAGTTAGTGTTTTGGGTTTCTTTGGATATGCTCCCAGATATGGGATGCTGGGTCCCCATGCCCTCATTTCACTTCACATTCCTGAAATTTCCATGAAGCAGGCTTTTAAAAATGTGAACACACATTCATTTAATGATGTGCTAAATATTCAAATTCCAATATTACAATATTTCCTCACAAATCTAGCATTTGTGATGCTTAGGTAATAATGCCAATTACTACAGTGCTAATTGTGGGTTCTCCACCCAATTCTTCTGAATGAGTAAGGATAGTTAAGCCTCTCAAGACAGGAAGAAATCATTTCTGAAGATAGTCACTAAATAACTTAAAAGTGTTGTAACTTGTTTTACATTTACCAGAAGCCATCATACCAATATTTAGGAATTTTGCCCATTTCAGGATGTATGCTATAAATACTTAAGTGTTCTTAAATACTAAATCTTCTAATAACTTAATAGTTACAGAATTAGGCATCACAAACAGGAAAAACAGGTCTCTCAGCTGTCTGGTTTTCAGTGAGTTTCACATGGTGGTAACACCACTAATGCCCGTTCCTCACATGTAACGGTGTGTGTGTGTGGGTGTGTGTGTGTGTGTGAGTGTGTGTGTATAAAGAACGTAACCTAGGGCTATTTTCTGAATGCAGACGACTGATCAGTAGATGATGATAAAGGAAAAACTAAAGCAATGTAAAGTCAGTAAACAATATTTTACTGAAACATTTCATAACACAGAAAATCTGTCTGAAGTGTAAAGTTACTGTCTTACACAAGAAGGACAGACCCATTTTCAAAGACTAATATGAATACAATAAATATGGAGTTTACATACTAATTTATACAGACACTCTGCCCCACAGCCATAAAAATTTATACTTAACAGTGCAACATATAATTTAATCAGTTGATTTATTTGACAGTTTTTTCTTACTAAACACAAATAACTACCTGGTTTTCATATATATAATATATATTTTATATATATAGATATTCAACAATCTGTACATTTCTAAACATAAAACTCCTAAAAGGCACAATTGTCTATACAACATGTACAAAAATGGCTGGAGCGGACACAAAACAACAATTATTGGTCAAAGTTCATGATTGCACAGAGATTAGTCATGAGTTTATGTCAGAAAAATGTGCTTTAGGGGAGAAGGGTTCTCAAAGAAACCTGTGAGCGCCGCAGAAACAACGGAACAAGCACTAGGTCGCTATCACAAGCCTGTCCTCGTCGTCGTCGCTGCTCACGTCGCTGAACTGCGCGGCGGCCTGCCTGCGGGGCAGCGGGGGCGGCCTGCGCACCTGCCGGTCTGGAGAGCACGGGAACTCTGCTGCGGGCGCTGCTTTGCCCTGGATGGAAGGGAGCCGGTGTGCAGGCTTCACCTGATGGGCGGGGGCAGCCTTTCCTGTGTCCATTTTGCTCGCGCCGTCCAGCCTTGCGTGGTCTCTCGCAGGGGCAGGTGGATCGAGCACTTTTTTTGCATTTTCCCGCTGGACTTGAAGTGAGCCCTGAGGAGACGCGGTCCTGCTGCCCAGGTTCCCACTGGCGACAGCAGTCGGCTTGGGGTGCGCCTCCTGTGCTCTGCTCTGGGAAGCCAGCGTTTCGGAAGCTCCCTGTGCGTCCACGGGGACCTGGCTGACCGAGGGGATTAAAGTCGGCAACGCTATGTTCAAGATCTGCAGGCCGGGGACGTGCGCCTGGGGGGTGGCGCTGCCCTGTGACGAGGGGTTTGCAGTCAAAACCTGCAGTCCCACGGCGTTGAGCGCCAGCCCCGGCGGGTGCACTTGCGGGGCGATGCTGGCGTTGGCGAGGCCTACGATGTTGACGGCGTCCACGCTCAGGGCCGGCAGGGACTGCACGCCCGGCGCCCCGAGGTTCTGCAGGCCCGGCACCCGGATCTGCCCAATGGGGATGCACGGCACGACGCTGCTCAATTCAGCCGCTGCGGCGGGGTGGGTGGTGCCGGAGGCCTCCGTGATGGGATCCCCAGGAGCGCCCACAGTTCTGCGGATGACGTTGACGGCAGGAATCGTGAACTGCATGGGCCCAGCTTGAATGGGTACAAATGTGGAGTACGTGAGGCCGGCAGGTACCACGTGGATCCCCCCGACCGGAACCATGTTGTAGGGTGTCCTTGACTGCTGCTGGGAATGCAGAGGGAGGTGGCTAAACAAGCGAGTCTGGGAAGAAGACAGGCCTGGAGTCGCTGGGAGAGCGGGCGGCTGCTTCCGTTCCTTCGTGTCGGGCTGAGGAGAGGCCCCGGGGGCGGCGGCGGCCTGCAGGCTGTGCTCAGCCGCCGGAGGACGCCTGGCAGAGGACGTGCTCTAGAAGACAAGAGGGAACAGGCCTTTCAGGGCAGAGCTTGCTGTTTTTCTAATCCTCACCCAAGGATATTTTTCCATTTATCCTCAGATAGAGTGAGAAGGAGAGAGAGAGAGAATCCTCCACGTGAGAAAGACACATCAATAGGCTGCCTCCTGCACAACCCTGAGCAGGGCCGGGAATGAACTGCAACCGAGGTTCGTGCCCTGGACCGGAATCGAACCCGCGACTCTTTGGTCGGCAGGCTGATGCTCTAACCGCTGAGCCAAACCGGCCAGGGCAGGACAGAGCTGTCTTAGTCACTGAGCTAAAATGCTATTCTTCCTAGCAAGGTGAAAGTATGTACATTTGTATTTTATAAAATTAAGTTTGCTAAAAAAAATTCTATTTTGATTAAAAAAAATGTTTCCAACAGAAAAAAACTCTATTGCACATTTAATCTCTTATTCTCTAATACAAATAACAGCAGCACATTTTTGTATAGTACTCTGCATTCTTAAAATGTCCTGGAGATAATCTCTTCTATACTGAAATGAACCCTGGGATGTGGCCATAATACATTCAGCTTCTGGTGGTGTTTTTACTGCTGGCACCACCAGCCCCACCCATTTTAGAGATTAGGAGTTAGGGAGAACTGAGATATTAGTTGACTCAGGAAAATCAACTGAAGAATCGTTCATTTATTAAACACAGAGTTGCCATTTATATAAAAGTCTGTAACCGTTCATTTGTTTGCTCGCTCATCCGTTCGTCAGTCTAGGAAATGTCCACTGCGCACCAGGTCCCGGCACTGCAGGCTACGAGAGGTCTGGGGCAGAGAAGCCAGCGCACGGGCACCCAGTATGAAAGTAATGGAAGTGTCTAGGAGTAAACCTTACCTACCCTCTCATCCACCCAAGATCATCATTTAAATATCAGCGTTTTCAGAGCTATGTTAACTTACATAATAATTTAATTTATATATTAAAATAATTTAAATGTTAATGTAATTTAATTAATTAAGGGTAGTCTACAAAAATCCATGCTTTCAAAGTGTTAGAAATACATCCTACTGCCATTGTCAATGGTAGAAAAATGTCTTCTGCATAGAATTAAACGTCCGTCACCAGCCGCCAGGCATAAACGCAGGGAGGCATTCACAGCGCCCTGAAGGTGACTTTCCCAAGGCCTGTGTCTGGCCCTGAGCTGGTTCCCGGGCAGGAAGCTTTCCCAAGTGGCCACAGCAAGTGGATCATTCAAGCAAAGTGAATTTCTTGATATGTTTTTTTTTGGTCACATTAACTTTGCTGGAGAAACTGGGAGCTTTTTGCCAACAGGGACAAAGTGCAAAATATTCAGATAATCCATTAGATCAATGCCATTGGAAAAACAGCTCAGAGCAGCCATGGATAAAACATGTCCAAGATTTATGTTCTCAATACACACATACATATTTTTATTTCTAGATGTAAAGAAAAAGCAAATAATAATGAGTATATGTTAAAAGACCCATTTGTTCTTTCACAGATTTATAATATAATATGCGAACTCTGATTAAAACACCTAACCTAAGAAGAATCAGAAGGTAATAAATATCCTTTGCCCTTAAATAAAACAACAAAAAATGCTTAAACAAGCTTATTTAGCCATAAATGAATAATTTAAGTATGCTATTTTCTTAAGCCACGAGGCTGCCCATATTTAATAGGTTAAACACAAGGAAAACAAACCATTTACCTGTGTTAAAGCAACAGCCCTTCCTGCCACAGAACCTCTCAGAATTTCGTCTGATTCAGGGTAGTCCACAGACATTTGATGACATGGAGATCTGGGTCCAGTTTCAGGTGACCGCGAAGAGTCTACAGGAGTAGCTGCCTCATCTTCACCTTTTGAAGCATGCTGCCTGGTCCTCACGGGGGACTCTGTCTTCCTACTGTAGTCTGACTGCACTGTGCTAAGGACGGTCATCTTGGTGGGCAACGCTCTCGGCAGAACATCCATTGGGTCTGTGTGTACCCCAGAAAAGCAATCGGTGATCCTGATGTCCTCATCAGCACTCACACAGTCCTGAAGGCTACTTCTGGATGGGAGATGCTGAGGACTGGCCGTAACAGAGGGAGCTGCCGACAGAACCGATTCAGCCTGGCTGTCTTCATCATCATCTTCATTTTCATTATCATCCTCATCTGGGCCATCAGATTCTTCAAGATCGTACCCAGACCTCTCGTAACTGAATCTTTGTCTATCATCTAATAAAAACAACCAAAAGGGCATGGGTAATGTTATATAATGTTTTACAACTGGACAAATGCAATCTTTTCTTTTCTAAGCTTGGCAATTCTATGAGGACTATAAAAGACAAGGACTCCAGCCACCAAGGCCTACTATCTAGTCGAGGAGAGTGACGGGAAGGAGGAGTCCACCGGTCCGGCAGGACCAGAGAAGCGAGGCACTGACGGAGAGCGGACGGCCAGGGAAGGCTTTGTTGAGGATGCAGAATATAAAACGAGCCTCAGAAGAGTAGACAGGCAGACGGTTATACATAAAAAATTTTTAAAAATCAGAAATAAAGACCTCAAATATTTTATTTTAAAACGCCCAAAGAAGACTGAACTATATTTAAAAACTTGACAGATTTCAATACAATTCTTTTCCTGAGTTCTTTTTCTATATTTACTTTGTATTTTCCTTTTATTGAACAAATTTCAAAATAAAAAACCTGACGCATTTCATATTCATCAGCAAAATAATTTCCCTTAATACTTGAATTGTATTTTAGACATGTTTGCATTGTTCTCTGAGTAGTAATATTCTCTAATATTTAAGCCTCTTCATAATTTTTTTTTTTTTTTTTTTTACTTAGATGCTAAATTTTCCCCACACTTTTTTTCTGTGATTAACCCACTCCTCATAGGAAGGGGGAAAATCAACTAAAAGTCATTCACATCAGCCTAATAATGTCATGGGAGACTGTGTCTAACAATGAATATTCAAGATGGTCCAGGGGAGTCTCAGAATTCTCACAAGTTGATAAACCTTATTGAGTCAACATCTTGCAAAATTAGAGGCTCTTTCCCTTAGAACATAAACTATGAAAGTTAAATTGGGAAAGAATTGAAAACATCTACTGCATTTCTTCCTCACTGAGCTGTACTGAAGAACCACTAGACCACATTCAGCTTAGCTGTGATACGTTCTGCACTTACACACACACTTTTTAAGAGAAAAAAATGTAAATAGAGAAACAGGCAATCAGTACATTTACTGGCTTTCCCAAATGGTCTGCGTATTAATTTACTTTACCCTTTTTTTCTAAATTACAAAGGTAAGTTCTTTGAGAAAAGTTTCAAGGGAGCGATACCAATATTTGCAGGTAATTATTTCTAGAATGGATCAGACTACAACTTTTATGTTGTTTATCTCAAGCATGTGTTATTTTCAAAGTTAAAATGATCAAAGATAAAATATGTGCATTTAGGTTCCTTTAATATGTGACTTCATATGCTTTTTGTTTTAAGGGTTCTACTATTTTGTTGTAAAATAATAAATAAATAATACTAACTTACTGAGTCCTACCTAGCAGGTACCTATGCTAGAAATGGAATGGGTGATTTCCGGGTAAATGTCCTGATTTCTGCCTCAATAATACCTCTCCTATACTCTCTCTGATATTTGAAGTTCGAAAATTAGAGTCATTTCCAATTTGTTTTGAATTTGCCACATTAGTGCCAAATCAGATATTTTTTAGAGACACGTTTTCTTTGAGAGGGAAAAACAGGAAATAAAAACAGAAGAAGCTGGATGACTGGCAGAACAGGAATCAAGAGGGGGCTGCAAAGTCTAACTAGGGAAGGATGTGCTTTACCTTAAAAACTATTACTTTTTTTTTTTTTTTTGAAGAGTGAACCTAACTTTAAATGTATGACTTTCCCCAAACCCATCATGAAGCTCAGGTCCCAGATAATCAAATAGCCCTAACTCTGAGCAGAGACCGTGTCTGTAGAAGGAGCCAAGACACACGCTTACATCAATGGTGGTAGATGCAACAGGACACTGGGCAATGAAGTCGGCTAAACAGCTGAAATACTGGTGAGAGCCAAGTGTGGGCTGGCAGGATTGCATATATCCTCTGGGGCTACACTCTCTTGTGGGCTCCATGCCATGAATCCCACACAATCACTGACAGAAAAGAGCACCAAGTGTCCACTGTGGTCCAGAACTAGGAGAAGAAGAACGGCAGCCACAAAGGAGGAGTAAGGATTTCCACCTGGATCCATCTCCTCTCCACTACAAGAGAAAAACCCTATTCTGTAATGGGAAGGACAACACGTGTGGCTGCTCTTAAGACAGACATTGGTGAAAACTCACTATAGTGAGGAAGGAAAATGAATAGGAGAAAGAAATACAACCCTACTCCTTGGAGAACAGATTGCCAGTGGAGTCTACCACAATAGCTGGAGGAGGGGTAGGAGAATGAGAGGGTCGTAGCCCAGCAATTTAAGAACATGGTACATGCAGAAGACGGAGGCTGGATCTGAACAGCAATGGCATACAATCTCTTCCTTACCCCCTACTGCTGAGCTAAAGTTTTAACTGCCTGGTAACCATAAAATCCTGGTAGGAGAAAGGCCACAGAATAAGAATGTGTAGAGTGACCCTCTGTGAGGCACTACACAAAGAGAAGCCCCAAAACTAGAACAGGCATTGGGTCTTGCAATCCATCCTCCACGGCAAACACAAGTATCTCTACAGAAATTTGAAGCCTCTGGTATACTAAGGGAAACATGGCAACAAGAAATCTCTCAAACCCAGTCCAAGTCTAACTAGAAAATCTCCCACACTAGGCCTAGCAGAAGGAGAGGTATGCCCATTATCAGGCATAAATACTATTTACATTAGGCTGTACTATCTTGTACATGATGTCAAGCTTTCAACAAAAATTACAAGGCATGCAAAAGGTAAGGAAAGTACGTTACTCAGAAGAGAAAAAGTAGTCAGAACCAGTCAATATGACCCAGATGTTCCAGTCATGAAGAATTTAAAATAATTATAATATGTTAAAAGCTCTAATGGGAAAGGTGGACAACATACAATAGCAAATGGGAATTTCAGAAGAGAGATGGAAACTACACAAAAGAATGAAATAAAATTCTACAAATGAAAAACAGTAACAAGAAAACGGTCAACCCAGAATTCTATCCCCATTGAAAATAATTTTCAAAGATGAAAGGAAATCAGACTTTCTTAGAAAACAAACAAATAAAAAACAGGGATTCACTGCCAGGAGATGTACTTGACAATAATGCTAAAGGTCTTTAGGCAGAGAAAATATGGTAGCAAATGGAAACAGATCTACACAAAAAAAATGAAGAGCAACATAAACAGGATAAATCAAGGTAAAGTAAAATAATTCTTTAAAAATTGTGCCCTGGCCAGTTTGGCTCAGTGGTTGGAGCACCGGCCTGCGGACCAGAGTCCCAGTTCGGTTCCTGCTAGGGGCAGGTACCAAAAAAAAAAAAAAAAATTTAAACTGCTTGCTGTTAAGCTAACAATGTTTACAGCAAAACAGTAACAATGTATTATCTTTTACATGCAAAGGTAAAAGATAAGACAACAATAGCACAAAGGATAGAAAGGAATTACAAATATACTGTTAAAGTCTTTATACTCCTTGTGAAACAATGTAATATTACTTGAAAGTAGACAACTCAAATTTTTAAAAGGTATAAATAACAATTCAATATAGAAGATAAAAAAGAATCACAGAAATGCTCAATTGAGGCATAAAAAGAAAACAAATGAAAAATAGCTGGCAAGATGGTAGGTTCTAATCCAACTACATGAACATTAAAAGAAATGGTCTAACACATTAATTAAAAGGGAGAGCTTGCCAGACTGGATAAAAAAGCAAGTTTCAGATATATACTGTGTACAAGAAATCCATTTTAAATACAAATATTTAAATGGATTAAAAGTAAAATTTGGAGAAAGATACACTTTAAATCATTAACTAAAATACAGCTTTAAAAATATATAATAATGTCAGACAAAGCAGACTTTAATTTTTTTTTAATTTAGTGATTTCTGAGAGAGGGGGGAATGGGAAGAGGGAGGGGGAAGGGGGAGGGGGAGGGAGGGAGGGATAGAGAGAGACATCAGTTTATTGTTCCACCTATTTATGTACTCATTGGTTGATACTTGTATGTGCCCTGACTGAAAATTGAACCCCAAATTTTGGCATATCGGGAAGATGCTCTGCTCTAACCAACTGAGCTACCAGGCCAGGGCCTCCAGACAACATAGACTTTAGAGCAGGGAATATGTCAAGGATAAATAAAAACATTACATAATGATAAAGGGGTTAACTCTGTATGAATATATAACAATCCCAAATGTGTAGCAATTAACTAGAGCTCAAAAATAAATGAGGCTAAAACTAAAAAAGTAATAAATACACAATTACAATGGAAGACTTCAACACTCCACTCTTAGTAATCAATAAAATAAATATTTCAAAAATTGGTAAGAACAAAGAAAACCTGGAAAACAACTATTAACACTAACGGACACTTACAGAATGCTTTCCCACCAACAGCACAATACACTTTCCTTATACAAGCACATGGAACAGTCACTAACACACATCACATTCTGAGCTACAAAGCAAACCTCAACACATTTAAATGAATAGAAATCATAGAGAGAATGCTTTTGGATGAAAACAGAATTAAGCTAGAAGTCAGTAATGAAAAGATATCTGACAAATCCCCAAATATTTCAGAATTAAATAATAGATTTCTAAATAATCCACGGGTCAAAGAGAAAATCTCAAAGAAAAGTTAGAAAGATTTTGAACTGGATGAAATGTAAATAGACAAATTACTGGAATGCAGCTAAAGCAGAGGTTAGTAAAAATTTTATTGTATTAAATGCTTTTATTAGAAAATAACTTTCAAATAAATAATCTAAGTTCTCACTTTTAAAAAGGGGGGGGGGTGCTAACCCAAAGCAAGAAGAAGGAAGGAAACAATAAAGGTGAAAACAGAAATAATAAAACTAGCAAAAGAAAAGTAGAGAAAGTCAATGAAACCAACAAAACTGATAAACCTCAAATAATACTGGTCAAGAAAAAAATAAAATAAAATAAATTATCAACATTAGGCAAGAAAGAGAGAATACATCACTATAGATCCTACAAATATTAAATGGATAATAAGGAAATCTATGAAAGACTCTATGCCTTACCAAA